ATTATATATATTTATTTAATGATATATTATAATTATAAATTTATAATTTTACATTATATTATAATTATAACATTGTTGATATGATAATATTTAGTGATAGAGATTTATGATTTTTGTTTTACATGCAACATGGATTTATGAATTATGATTGACTATTATGGGTTATTTTTTTATTTTTTTATTTTTTAGGGATCTAATGGCGCGTGGGGAATACAGCAGACCAGTTGGCAGTTGACGTAATTGGGAAATAACGACATAAATAAATCAATAACAAATTTAGCATGGTTTGTGACTTTAAATATAGTATGGCATTTCGGTGCTTGTAAAGTTGTAATAGCTTTCTTAAGATGTGGGGACCTTGCAAACATTGTAATTAAGCATGTATGTTCAATGCTTTTGTGTTTGTCTGTCTATTGAACATCTCTTATTGTACTAGTGCAATTGCTTAAAAGGCACTTTTCTTCAACGTCATGTACATCTGTTGGGTTGGTTTCCCCTAATTTCAAAAATGTATCTATATCGTTTTATAAAAATATGTATAATTATATATGTGTAAATTTTATAAAAATTTTGTTTTATAATTTAAACTGCATTATATTACAAATACCTCCTTCCTTGCAAAGCTGGTTGCAGGAGCACCGTCCTCTCGATCTAGGGCTAGTTATTTTGTTTTGCAATGGTTTTGACTCTTTTTTTTTTTTTTTTTTTGTGAGCTGTGTTTGTAAGACCTCTTTAGAGCTTTAATGTTACTATGTTATTGTTTGCTAGCCAACCAAAAAAAAAAAATTCAAATACAAAGGAGTTTATTCCATCTAACAAGTTAATTTATATTATTTAAATTACATAATAATTTTTAAACTTTGTGGTTATGAATTATTAATATTAATTTTAAATTTTGTTTCAATGCCTTAAATTAAATAAACCTGATATATGGATTAAGTGACTTTAATTACTTTTGTAAAATTTATATTTTCCTCCTTAAGGCAACTATTTCAATCAGCCCATAACTAAATGTTAAAAAAAAAAAAAATGTCTTAAGCTAGACACCTAAAAGCTAAAGCTAGACGCCCTGGACCCATTCATGCCCATGACTTTTGAAAATTGAAACATCTGCGGAAAAAGAAAGGGGCGCTGGG